TCCCTAAGCGGGATAATAGCTACTTCATAAATGAGTAGACCCGTCTTGCATCATTGGTGGGCATGACTTGAGCTTCTGTCCACCTCGAGACGTAGTACACTGCAACCAGGATACAAAAATTACCAAAGGATGGAGGGAATGGGCCCATGAAATCGATGCCCCAAACATAAAAAGTTTCACAAAAAATAGAGATATATTGGGGCGTCTCATCCCGGGAAGAAATGTTACCTGCCCTCTAGCAGCGATCGAACCGTCGTGCGAAGGCATCAACATCCTTAAAGAGCGAGGGCCAGTAGAAGCCCGACCGTAGCACTTTTCCGCCATGCTGTTCCCACCATGATGACCGCCCGTGGGTCCCTTGTGGCATTGAGACAGGATGTCTCCCATCTCGTGCTCCATGACACAATGCTAGATCATGCCATCTTCTCCGATCCTAAAGAGGTAAGGATCCTCCCTGAAGTAATGCTTCAGGTCGGAGAAGAACTTATGCTTGGCATGAGTGGCCATCCCCTTAGGCAGCTGCTTACCCACCAGATAATTGGCAAAGTCAGAATACCAAGGGGTGACGCTCTCCACCAAGAATAGCGCCAGCAATCCGTTGATCTCTTCCACAAAGTTGTCCATTGTTGGAGCTTCCAACCGTGAAAGATGATCAGCAGCAACATTCTTGGCTCCCTTCTTGTCCTAGATCTCGATGTGAAATTCCTGCAGAAGTAGGATCCAACGGATGAGCCTAGGCTTAGCATCGGCCTTACTGATCAAGTAGCGGATGGCAGAGTGATCTATTTAGACCACTACATGGGAGAGCACCAGATATGGTCGGAACTTGTTGAAAGCATACACCACAGAGAGCAGCTCCTTCTCGATGGTGGTGTAGTTCTCCTGTGCATCGTTTAAGGTCTTCGACGAGTAGTATATGGGATGAAAGTATTTTTCGCATCTCTGACCCAGAACAGCTCCAACTGCATAGTCACTCACATCACACATTAGCTCAAAAGGGAGATACCAATCAGGAGTCACCATGATGGGTGCATGGGTCAGCTTCTCCTTCAAGGTCTAGAATGCAGTCGTGCACTCTGGAGTGAAATCAAAGGGTGCATCCTTTTCAAGCAGCTTGGTCAATGGCAAGGCGATCTTTGAGAAATCCTTAATGAACTACCTGTAGAAACCTGCATGACCCAGAAAACTGCGGATCCCCTTCAGAGAAACGGGAGGAGGCAGCTTGCTGATCGTCTCAATCTCCGTGCGATCCACCTCAATTCCCTTCTTGGAGATCTTGTGCTCGAGCACAATCCCCTCCAAACCATAAAATGACACTTCTCCCAGCTGAGTGCCAAATTAGTTTCCTCGCACCTCTTCAAGACAAGCTCTAGGTTATGGAGACAGTGGGAGAAGGAGTCTCCATAAATCGAGAAGTCGTCCATGAAGACTTCCATGATCTCTCCAACCAGTCGGTCGAAGATGGCCAATATACACCGCTGGAAGGTTGTCGGGGCATTACAGAGCCCAAATGGAATCCTCTGGTACACGAAGGTACCAAATGGGCAGGTGAAGGTGGTCTTAGCCTGATCCTCCGGTGCAATCAGGATCTAGAAAAATCAAGACATGCCATCCAAAAAACAGTAGAACTCAAGTCCCGCCAACATCTCCAGCATCTAGTCAATGAAAGGAAGTGGGAAATGTTCCTTTCTGGTGGCGTCGTTTAGGCGCCGATTAGGGATGGCTATACGGTCCGGTCCGGTTAAATTTCCCTGAATTGATCAAGTCCCAGTTCGGTCTTTTTCGGGAATATAAGGACCAAAGATTGGATTGGATACAGTCCCGTCTTGATCTGGTCCGGTCTTGACCCGGTCCGGTCCCAATTCGGTATTGATTTTAGATTGAACTTTTTGGGATTTGAGTGGCTTGAGGACTCAAAGGGTGAGGAGTTGGTCAAGTTTTGGGTGTTGGGCTCTCTTGTCTGGTCTTTATCCGGTTTTTGATCCGGTCCCAAACGGTTTTTTACCTCAACTCTAAGCCCGAAGATTGGATTGGATTGTTTGCTATTTGGTTCCGATCTAGTCACAGTCCAGGATATACGCTCCGGTTTCGGAAAAAACCAAATAGCCTGGACCAAATAGCCAGCCCTAGCGCTGATAGTCTAACTAGACTCTCCAACCAGTCACGGTCCACATCGGTATCAGCTCGTTCTTCTCGTTCGGGACCACTATCATCCCGCCTTTCTTAGGGACCACCTGGGTGGGACTGACCCACTTGCTATCATATATAGCAAAGATGATCCCAACATCCATAAGCTTCACGATCTCTGCTTGGACCATTGCCTCCAAGTTAGGAGTCAATCTCCGTTGCGGCTGTCGGATAGGCTTAACCACATCCTCCATCGGAATCCTGTGGGAGTAGAAGGATGGGCTTATGCCTCTGATATCTATAATCTTCCATGGCCCGGACATAATTCTCCAGGAGAGCCACCACACTGCTCTTTTGCTCGGGTGTCAGATCCGTGCTGATAATGACCGGGAGCTTATTCCCCTCCCGGAGAAATGCGTACTTCACGTGAGAGGGGAGGGACTTAACTCCAGCACTGGTGTCTCCTCCAAGGATGTGGCAATCCAGGGCGAGATAGAGATTGGCTTGAATGGCTACTCTCGCCCCTCGATTGGGGCACCCTCAACTCCATGAGCTTCTCCTCCAACTGCACCTCCAACTGCAGCTCCTGTGATGCCTGTTCCACTATCAAAAGACAACGCTCGAGGAAATCATCAGTACCCGCACTCGTGATGGCGAGTGCAATATTAAAATCGCCAATAACATCGCAGTAATCTAAATCATCATGGATCTAGGGGTGTTTCATATTATCAGAAAAAGAAAAGGTGATTTGTTCACCCCAGCCCTCAAAATCAGTTTACCATCATTAACATCAATCAGCGCCTTGGCGGTGGCGAGAAAAGGGCTACACAGAATTAAAGTCACTTCCACATCCTCATTAATATCCAGAATAACAAAATCAATAGGATAAGAGAATGTCCCTACCGTGACTATCAAATCCTCTACAATATCCCTAGGATGCACAATAGACCTATCAGCTAATGGAATGCTCATCCTTGTGTTAGTGGGTTCACCTAAGCCTAGCTTTTTAAACTGTTTATATGGCATTACCTTTATGCTAGCGCCTAGATCCTCCAAGAACTTCCCTACATGCAAACTACCAATCATGCAAGGGATAGTAAAACTCTCTAGATCTTTTCGCTTTTCTGGTAGCTTTTTCTGCAGGATGGCAAAACACTCCTCATTAACCATCACTGTCAACAGTTCCCCAACCTTCCGCTTGTTGGTGAGGAGATCCTGCATGAATTTAGCATACTTGGGCATTTTTGACAATGCCTCCACGAAGGGCATACTGATGTTCACCTGCTTCAGCATTGCCACAAACTTGGCAAACTCAGTCTCCAGTCGGTCTTTGTGCAACCGTGTAGGGAAAGGAAGCTAAGGAACATACTCCTTCACCACTGGTTATGGCTGAGGAACATTCACTGACTCGCTTGAATCTACACTACAATTAAACCCTCGGGTGTAGTATAGGGAAAGTATCTATATATCGACCCGGGCCGGCCGTCTACCCCTACTTCGGTTGTTGAAATCATTATCTAGCGATAAAACTTTAGTTTAAAGGTTTTCTAATTGAAATGAAAGAAATCAAAAGTAATTTGGTTTGAAAACTCTTTTGTGGGAAAGTCACTTGGGTTTCGCTTCCCCCTAAACCGCTACCATGCTACGTGGATTTGAACGATTTCCTTGGGCACGCTAATCGTGAACCGCAGAGGAAAGCGTATGTGGTTGGGGACCACAGTCTCGATTTCTAAACCGAGGTGATGATGAAAGGTCGTGTCACTCGACCCTCTCGGTTTAGACAATCGGTAATCGGCTTACTTCCTCACTCAACTCTAAGGTCGGACGGTTTAACCACGATTAATTGACTTGTTCAATTCAATATCGAGGATTGCCCTAACTTAACCTAGTTTAGGTGGATTGGAAAGCGGAAGGAAAACCAACTCAATTGAGTCTCCCTTAAAAAGGGGTATTCTCCTCTCTAAACTAGGCTAAGTTGTCAAATTAGATTACTAGCACCTAAATGCACAAACTTAGGGGTGCTAAGGGCAATTATGCACAAACCTAGGATGCTAAGCACAAAATATGCACAACCCCTAAGTTGCTAAGAACAAGCATGCCAAATCATGGTGAAAAATACCTCAAACATTAAATTGAACAATGCCCAATATCAATCATTCAAACCATATACTAGAAAACTACATAGTAGGGTTTAGGGTTTCACTACACCCAAGTGGGAGGAGGACTACTCCATGGAAGAAGTGGGAAGAACAAAGGAGAAAAAGGTGGAAACCATCTTGTGGGGATGCCTCCTCTCTTCTTCAACCTTGAGTTGGGATTTCCTTGGGGAAATCTTCCCAAAACCTCCTTTGAAGCCAAGCCCTAACTCCTTCTCTTTGGGTTCTGTTTCTCTCACTAACATGCAGAAGAAGTATTTCTCTCACAAAAAGTGGCTCTCCCCTTCTCTTTCCTTGTAGCTCAGCTTTTAAACACGAGAGGAGCTGAGTTCACGGCCGTGAACTCTCAAACGCGTCCGTGAACGAACGCTCCGCATCGATCACGGTAGTTCACAGCAACTGCTTGTGTTCACGGTCTGACCGTGAACTCGCCTTGCGTCAGTAACCTTCAACTTGGCTCTGGACGCCTTGCGCTTCATGGTCAACTCCACTTCTGCACGGTCTTGCACGACAGTGAACTCCTGCCTTTAGCCGTGAACTTGCATTTTGTCACATCCCGATCTTTAAAACCCTTAAATAACAGTTTTGCTCCGGAGCATATTTAAAATTTTGAAAGAAAGAAATAATAATGTGCTCGAAATACCAATACTGAAAATACATCTTATAATTTAAAAGCAAAGCCCTAACAGTTGGGCAAACCTCAATCCATAAAGTCTTATCCTTTTAAATCTCCAGTCATTACTCATAATCATAAAGCAAATAACTAAAGATTACAATTGCTGCTTACTCCGATCCGTGGTCAGACATCTTCAGAAGTGCTCACGTGGTCCTCCTCGGGTATCCTGCTCTCTCGCTGGATGCTCCTCGACTGGATGCTCTCTAGCTCCTCTTCTACGACCTGGTGAGTGGGTTGGGTTCAGTCTACGCCATTACTTAAACTAGAAGCACTTACGGGTATTCCCTTAAGTGTTCACCTCAAAACTTGTGGAAGTTGTTCATACTTCCACCCTTTAAATTTTAACCCTTAAAAACGTGGGAGTTGTTGTTACTCGCCACCCTCAAAAATCTTAAACCTTTGACTGACACTGGGATCCCCTCACTAACTAGTCCAACCGCCCAGCTCATACGTATGAGGGCCAACATAGGCCTTTCCTTAAACCTTTTTATGGGAGTAATCGATTCAACCCCATAAACCTTAAGAGTATATCATACTCTTCCTTTAAACTTATGTGATGTCTAAGTGATTCATCCACATGTTCCTTAAGAGCAAACTAGCTCTTCCTTTAAACTTTCACTGGGGCGGGGGACTGTCGTTAGTGAACTATCTTTAAATCTTTTCACCCTAATTTAATTAGGAGTGAAATATCTCTTAAATGTTGATCCTTAAAGATCAAACAACCTTCACTAAATAAACATAAATATAAAAGCTTCAAGTAAATATTGAAAGCTCAAATAATCATCTCGGATAATATCCCAAATAGAACATGCTTTATCAATAACGATATAAATCAATCACTAACATACAATTCACGTAAACACACATACTTTAAAAACTCGTAAGGCAATTACTTGAAAACACGTAAGGCGTAGAATTTACCCCCTTAAACCACTCACCTCTCAAATGACAATTCTTAGTTCCCTTGACGTGAAATCCTTAATCCGATCGCTTCCTCAATCCTATAAACCGAAATCATCTTCCCTTAGTCGGTAATCCTCAAGTTTAGTCCCTTTAACGTATTGGAAAAAATTTCCCTCATTGATTACTTAGTCCCAAAATCCTTTAAAAATGGCCCTCAATCTCCTTTAAATCATTTTCTCAAAACTAAACTTTTCAACCTCTTTAATCAAGAATTAAATCATCTCAAACAACTCAATATTTCTTAAAATAATTCTCATACAATTCTCATAAATTTCTCAAAAATTTCTCAAATTATATTTTCCACTTAAGACTCCACATTCTGACCTTGGTTAACTCAAATCATTAATCCCAATTAATAAACATAAGCCCCTATTTTAAATAACCTCTTTTTCCTATTAAAATTAATCATATATAATTTTTTTACCAAGTCACGAACACTAATAATTCTGATTCGTAATTTTATAACATCAATAAACAATCCTAGTTTCATGGAAAATTATCAAATCACCAAAACGACTTTGTACAGTATTTTAATTAATTAAAACCTACATTCATTTAATTTTTATAAATACAAATACAGATCCAAAAACTCTAAAATTTATACACGAGCATCATTCAAATATTCTCAAATTTATAAAATTCTCATATTATGAAAATACCCACGGAAATGTTTTGGAAATAAACATAACCATGAAAAATATGATTTTCGGGCCAAATTATCAAAAACTTAAAACTCTGAGGGACTAAGCTGTATGTACTGAATACATGGGGGACTGATCTGGATAATAGACCAGCAGTCTTAGAGACAACCAAAATTCCGTCACTAAAAGGCTGTAAGTTTGGTCACTAATTCCCAAAAATTCACAACTCGCATAATTAACTTAAACGTCGAAATTGACGAAAGGTATCGGGTTCGCTTACCTCTTGGGCGTTCCTATACCTAGTTCCTGGTGAGTAGAACTTCTGTTTCTTCCTTAGATCATCCTTTGATCGTCTCGTACTTTCATCGCCGAAACTATGGAAACAACCATGATTAGTTAATTACGTAGCTTTGACGCTTGAAGAGGGCTACGAAGTCATCGTTCTTACCTAGTTACTGTGAAAGAGTGGAAGTTTACGACGAAGGAAGCTACTGGTTGCGTCCTCCTCCGGTGATGATGATGACGTTCGTTGGCAGGGAAAGGGTGGTGACTTCCGCGACAAAGGAGAAGGACACCGACTACTTCTTGATTTTGGACATAAGAAGTATATTAAGGGGGCAGCAGGGTCTGGCTTCTTTTGGGGGATTTGCAACCGAGAGTGAGAGATGGAGGATGTGAGAATGATAGTGTAGGTCATTCATAGGGGTTTCATTCAACAGCAAAGGGAAGCTATATATGATTGTTGGGTTGTGATGGGAAGATTATAAAATGTTATCTAAGTATCCTTATCATGTCACAAGAGAAATGAGAAGTGAATGATGTTGTCAGTGGGTGGGTGTTGATAGCTGGCTCTGTAAATGAGCTTGGGAGGGGTGGGGAGGGATTAGTTGGGGTAACGGCAGGGAGGGGGAGGGGTGGGGTGGTGTACAGATGGGGTGGGGTGGGGTGGGGTGACATGGGTTTTCTTCCTTTTTTTTTTTGTTTTGTTATGTTTTACTAATAATAATAATAATAAGTTATTATTATTCTTAATTCATAATTGTAACTATTCCTATGTAAACGTTTATTCAATCGTTCACTTACTATAGACGAACTCAAACCCAAATGCCGGGGTGTTACACATTTTTTCACCTCTTCTCCGGGTAGTTGATCCTTTTTGCCAATCCTTCGACTCCGAGGCTGGTTCCACCTATTATCGACCACAACCAACCATGCAGGAACCAACCATGCATGGAATTCAAGTCCGAGGAACAAATGGAAAGGCAACAAAGGTCCTCACCGGGGTATGATATGACATGCAAAGCAAGAATGAATCGCTCACTCTCAATACCTGTGGGGTCGGGAGCTTTTTGGTGCAAAAGATGTACACAATCGTTAACCTCTCGGCCCTATCGTCTCAATACCACGGCGGTAACCTCTAAACGCTAGAGTTCACGTGATGGTTGTCACCACTAGCTCGTTCGGAGGTCTTAAACACGGGTTCACATGACTGGCAATTGGCTTGTACATGGGAAAAGGCTTTTAGGGTGGTGGAAATCATGACGTGAGGTTCTACATCTTCAACCTAAACCCGAAGGGTCTATGGTTTCGAATAAAACCCGTCTCTTCAATCAAAGGCCACTAGCATCGACCAAAAGCCTTATCTCTCCCTTCCAACTATCACCAATCATGAACTACCTTGAAGCGCTCTTCATCGATCAAATCTTGCTAGTTCTTTAAGGTTTGGTAGTGAAGGGAGTTCTAAACAATGTGGGGGTTTCGTTGGCTTGGGTACCAAGAAACCTCTTCCTAGATCATGTACTTTGGTTTTTCGTGGCACTCTCTACTTTATTTACCCCATTTTATTACCCCTTTTTCGTTTCTCTTTTCTTTCCTTTCGTTTCTCTTTTTTCTTTCTTTTAGAGGGGGTAAAAACACTTTCCACCTAAACATTTATCGACCAATGCTCTCTTTTTGAGGAACTAACTCCAACACTACACTCCATTTTGCACTCCTAGATAGAACCACACATGAACATCCTATGTAGAACCTCTATGGAAACTCAACGGTAAGAGTTTTGGGACACATGGGCGACCCATGTTGGGACACGAAGAAAGGATTTGGGGATCATTCTACTAACACCTTTAAGCTCACACAAACAAAGCTCCTAAACTGAGAACGACCCACGGAATCACACGACTCAAAGGGGTTGACTAAGGGATGATGCATCTCAGGACAATCAACTTTTGGGGCGTGGACTAATCCTATGCCTCCATCATACTTGCTAGTGATGACTTGTGATGCTACACACCGTGGTAAGAGGGAACTATCACACCGAAAGAAACGAACAGCTCAAAGCTCACAGGCTACCTAGTTACCCAACCATCTATTCCCATTCAAAACACGATGCATGGGAATTGTAAACAACAAGTGATCAAGTCAAGACCTTCATTCATTTATGCACACTTTGAGAACTAAACTCTTTCCCTATCATAATGAACTTCTCAGTCATCATCATAGGATATACTCAATCACATGCACAGTTCAAGATTAAAACCGGGGTAGAGTGATGTTACCGCTTGGGCTAGGTGAGTGAATGTAGGAATCAAACCGGGGTAGGATAATTGAAGCTTCAAGGAGAGACAAAAAAAAACACACACACACACACAAGCACAATACGACTTGCTCGAGGCGAGGTTTTTACAAGCACAATACATAGCAGTAGTAGTTCATGTCACACACACACAAATAACACAAACAAAAATAAAACAAGTTTAGGGTTACAAGTAGAGAAGTGGGGCGAATGGACTCCACTCTGCGACATGTCTCTCTCGTCGGCTACCTCTCTTTGGTGGATGGACCCTCTTTCTCATCGGGTAGGATACCCTGATGTCGAGCCATGCGCTCGAGGATGTCGGACTTTCGCTCGAGGCGGGATGAGAATCCCAAGAAGCACGTCTCAAGGCGATCCACCCTCTCAACGAGGGGATCGCCTACTCCTGGTGGTGGTGGCTGCTTTGCAGGGCGCGGGAGCGCTGGACGGCGGCGACGGCCGGGTGCACGAGGAGGCGGCTACTCTGCTGCTGGAGGGACCTTAGGGTCTGGATCCACTAAAGCTGGTGCTACTGTAGCTCGGATGACTCCGGAGGGTCGGAGTCCATCAAGGTACTCCACTCCTCTCTCGCCCTGGAGTACCAGCTTCTGATTGTACAAAGTCTCCACTTGGAAGGTCTCTATCCTCCCTATGCTGGTGCAGAGGGCCAGATCCACCTGGAAGTGACGGGCTACCTCGTGATGATGCCCTCCAATGCATCGTGTCCACTCTGTTCCGCCCCAGGCACCGGGCGAAAGAGGTGGCTATCAACGATCCCAGATGGATCTGCTCAGCTGGACTCCTCATCGAGTAGAGGGCAATGAGCACTCTGTTCATCATCAAGTGGTCTGACTGGAGGCTGGGGACGACGGATCTGGTGAGCAGAGTATGAAGAATCCTCCACTGGGTCTTCAACTTGATGGCCTTTGTCTTGCTCCCCTCGAACTCGCTCTGCTCGTGCTCTGGGCGGTAGAGGGCTCGGAATGCGCCCTGATAGTCAAAGTCGACCGTGTACTGCCGCTCTGTCATCATCATGTGAGCGGTGTCGAGCCCCATGCCTAAGCGAAGCCACCGTAGGTCAGCACTCATGGCTGACCGCCCAGCATGAACTGCACCCGGGGTCGGCTCTTCTTGATGGCCGAGACAATGTGGGAGAAGGTGGAGTAGAACTCCACACACAGCTCATGAAAGATCTCCTCGTCCATGGTCAGGAGCTGGCGCCACTGGGGGTGGGAGAGTACCCTAGTCATGGTGGCTCGGCACCTGAACAAGTTAAACATGTCGAGGTCCAGCCGTGCGTGAGGCCCGATCGGGCTATCACTCTGGTAGGAAAACTTGACCCCAAAATCCGGGTGGTTCACCAGGTAACCGATGAACTCATGCTCCAAGTTAAGCATCCTGCACACAAAACAAACACACCGTGGAAACATCCGTCATAAACCTCTCATTGGTAGGAAAAGAAATCCCCCCCCCCCCACACACACACACACTTGTTTTTCCACCATGGCTAAAACATTTAAGCTCAAACCACCGTGGCATGGTTGTGGGCATTTCACGGTTCAAGCACCAAAAAATTGGAACCACAACCCCTACCACGGTGGCTACGATCCACCAATCAAAACAAACTCCACTTGCATTCATAACATAGCACTTGGTGGGAAAATTCTAAAAGTAATCACAATTCAGTTCAAACACGCCCACCAAGGCTCACTAAGCTCATGCAATAATCAATCCATCAATCACACGACCTAATTCACCTAAGTCCTCGCCCTAACTAGATTCAATCATGCCAAGCACAGGAATTCAACCTCACTTCACTACCTAATCCGGTTCTCCACCATTCACAAAGGTAAAGGTGAAAAACAAACATGGAGAATCAAGTAGGACGAGGGAGGAAGTGAGGTGCGGTCGAGGACAGTGAAAAACTGGTCTGAAACTAACCGGAGAGGGGTCGTCGGAAGCTCGCTGGAGACTCGCTGCCGGTGACTTGACAGCAAAAAATGTGGTCCAAATCTCCCCAAATTCACAGCACAGGCCGGTTTTGAGGAGAGGGGACTGGGTATGACGTTGGTTTCGCTAGCCGGATTTGGGGGAAAATCGGAAAAGCGATGGAATTTCGCGTTTTTCGATGAAGATTCAAAATTTTCAGGCGAGTTTTTGGTCGTGAAGTGAAGGGTCCCCGTTCACGCCCCTTTTATAGGCAGAGCTCTGAGTTCACGGACGCGTTGCCCAGTTCACGGTCTTAGCGACCGTGAACTCGCGAATGCGTCCGTGAACACAGAGTGGTTGGCAGGTGGTGAACATGCATCAGCGCTCAGTTCACGGATGCGTTTGCCTATTCACGGTCTTAGAGACCGTGAACTGAAGTGAAATCATGGCATTTCTGCAAAAAAATTTGACTCAACCTACTCCTCCGTGCCTCCTAATCTATCGCATCACAACCATAAATCGCAAAAACACAACACTCGGCACGGGGACACCACTTCACCACTCGAACCCTTCACAAGACACTAAAACGAAAACTAAGAAAAAGGAAGAGGTGGAGGTTGCGTAGCATTTCCATGAACCCTCCACACTCGTTGTCCAACCTCTCCTTGTACATCCTTGTGGTATAAGGAAGAGGTGGCACATATCCATCCTTCGGCAAGGCCTTGCTTGCCGCCTTCCTCTCATTCCTCGAGGGCTTCTTCTCTCTTCTTCTCGGGGTGGTCTCTTCGCCACTACAGGAAAATACACATTTTCCTAGAGTAAAAACGGTAGTTAATAGTCACAAAACGGTAGTTAATACTTTTAGCTACAGTCAAAATACAGTGGTTAACTTGGCCGTGGGTAAAAGTCAAAACGGTAGTTAAAAGTGATTATTTACTATGGTTTCATACTATGGTAGTTAAAAGTATTGACTACGGTAAAAATACGGTAGTTATTAAGTTTTATAAACTACAGTTTGAATGGTGGTTAAAAGTTATTTCTAACCACCAGTCTTCTAACGGTAGGGAATGAGTAGACAATTAGCTAGGGTAAGTTACGGTAGTTGAAGAGTGAAACAATAGGAAATGAGTTCAAAATTTGCTAGGGTATTTACGGTAGTTAAAAAGTGAAACGGTGGGGAATGAGTTCACAATTAACTATTGTACTTATGGTAGCTAAAGGGTACAACGGTGGGGAATAAATATTCTGTCTATCATAAACAGTCACTAAAAATGAAAACTATTGTCAACTACGCAAGTTTCTTTCATTTTCCAACATGTCAAACAACAACCTAAAGAAAAGCTTCGTAACAACTAATGATTTTATATAATCAGTAAACAATTCATATACAAATGCCAACTATGCAACTATTCTTGCTACTACTGTTAAGGAATTTGACATCCAAACATTCTTTCTAACTAATAGTTTTGAATGAAATTCACACATCTTGACTTCATGTACAAAAGGTTGTAAGTCAACCATCAAAAGCTATTCTTCTGTCAAGAATCAAAATCCATTATGCTTCAATCTCTAATATAGTCATCTTAAACTTGAGGAAACAAACCTGCAAATTTAACAAGGAACATTAATTAGTATCATTTTGATTATACTGTCACTTAGTAGTACTTCAACTACCTAAATAAGAATATGCTTTGGTAGGGAAACAGGAAACATAAGAATTGATGGATAACAACTCTTTAGAAAAGAAGAAAGTTACATACTTAGCAAAAATCAGCAGCTAAGTTGTTGCGATAAACTGCAATTTTCACCAACTTAATGGTGTCCCCTGCCATGTACAAGATGTGAAGTAAGCCCATCATCATATTGTCATTCTAATGCCAGCACATAGCAAATAACATCATATTCACTATAACATGAAAATACTTTGTTCGATCGTCTTACCTCGTTTCATCATCCCACCAACATATACGATCTAAGTTGGTTCTTTTTCTTTGACGATCGAGCACCCAACATTGCTTCCACTTGAACTTTAACTTGTTCCGCTATTTTAACTTCCATTTCCCCCCATAACTTCAGCCCTAGTTTCAGTTCTCACTTCAGCCCTCATTTCAACCATCATTTCAGCATTCATTTCAGCTCTCTCTCTCTCTCTCTCTCTCTCTCTCTCTCTCTCTCTCTCTCTCTCTCTCTCTCTCTCTCTCTCTCTCTCTCTCTCTCTCTCTCTCTCTCTGCAGCCTCTCTATCTCTCTCCGCAGCCTCAAGCTCCTCTATACGTTTTCGCATATCAACCTTCTCTTCTTCATATTGGCGCAATCTAGCATCTAACCCCTTATCTTTTGAGCTACCAACCTTCAAGTCTTTAGGTTACGGAGGAGAGAGAAAGAAAATCATTAATTATTAGTATTAATTATATTTGTATAATACCCCATTTACCCTCAACTAACAATTAACTACTAACCCCTATTAACTACCTAATCCACTATTAGCCAATGAGAATCACTTAAGAAAATGCTTAAACTTATAGGCTTAAGCACCGGATCCAACCCGAAAGGTTGACAATCATGATTTGAATCTCACGAGTTTCTTTCTAATTTCCAATTTGTTTTTGAAATACTAACTAGGGGAATCAACCGATCAAAGGACAGGTTTCTCACAGTTCGACAACATTTCTCCATTTTTATTTGATTTGTACCCATGTGATAATATGTTAACTCTTAACTTTTTCTGAATGCCAACCCAATAACTTTGAATTAGTATAACATCTCAACTCTTTTCTAACCTGTATATTGTCCATTTTGGTCCCACCATCGCACAATTTTGTTTTCAAGTGCATATCTAGTGACTTCTTACGAGGTCAATTATCTTTGCGTTGCTCTACATACTACAGTGAGCACATTTAATTTAAGAATTTTTACAGTATTTTTTTTATTTCATTCGGAGAGGCTCTGATATCACTTATAACATCCCAATCATTTTCTGACAAATAGGGATGAGCAACGAAAAATGGATATTTCTGTATACCCATACCCGTCCATGTTTTCTTAGGGTTACGGGTACCCATATACTCGTATTATTTATTACGGGATGGAACTTGAGATTAAAATTTTCAATATTGGGTACCGCGGATTACTCAATAACACCCGTTTGGATAATATGAGTGCCCGTAATAGCCATTACGATTTATTCCCTAACAAATACAATATTCAATACATATAATCAATTACAAATGACTTTAATGTACTTGCAATAATAATGTTATTATTATGCAGTTGCAACATATCAGATGCCGACTTCTTAGATTCTGAAAAGGACACATACAGAGATTATGGCTCTCCTGCTTTAACATCACTTCTAGTAGGCGACCATCTGTATGTTGCCAACGTGTGGGATTCACCAACTGTGGTATCCAAGGCTGGAAAAGGTACCAATATGCTATTGATGTTTATTTCTGTTCACCATCAAGCTGCAGCTTGTCTGGTAATGTTTTGGGCGCGATATATTCATGTTGTGATTTATAGTAGACGATGAAAGTATGAAGTGCATATAGGGTCCCCGGCGCTTAAATTGAGAGATATTTGTGTTAGTCCATAGACATGGTACCGGTTCTAAAGAAATAGTTTAATACCAAGACAAGTCTGGCAGCAGATTCTGGACCATATTTCAAAAAAGTGAACGGGTACCTAGTCTCGTCCCGCTGCCCACCCCTACTGACAAAAATATTGTTCGTTTTGGGCCTACCACAATATGACTTTGCACTTTTACTTTTGGGATGCATCATAATAACTTCCTATCAGTTACCAATCTTTACACGCTCCACACTAAACACTTTAACTTCAGAATTCTTAGGGGTCGTTTGGAAGTTGTGATTGTTAGAATTGTGTTTGTTGAATACATGTATTGTGCACAATACAATGTTTGAAAGTGCCAAAGTGTAAAACAATGCATGCATTGTTTTAGGTAGGTCCCACCAACAATCACAAAAAATGATGTATTATACAATCTCAACTAAAAGTTGAGATTGTTGTGATTGTTGCTTTTAGATTTGTGTCAGCTTTTTCTTTTCATTTATATCCCTAATAGTTTTTGTCTTATACTAAAAGTTGAGGGTAAATATGACATTTCATCATAAAAGTAACTTTATGTAAATCAATGCAAAAATTATAATCTCAACAACCAAACAATGTATTGTTAAAATGCATCCATTGTATCAATACATGCATTTATATTATAGTGATTCATTACAATGCAACGATTTAACATTCGCAACTTCCAAACGACCCCTTAGAATAACTCCTCTATTTCAACATAAAATTCATCTTATAAATTAATGTTTGATCGTCCTCTGTCAATGTAGGATTTGTCATTCCAATTAGAATTTGTTCCGGCTCGAATTATTACCATCCTTTGCAACTGCGTGGTTGCATATGTAAGACATATACTTGCCTTACTAACTATTCTTTGTTATAGAACCTTGAGGCAAATACACTCAAGCAGAACTTGTTAAATGCTAACGACGAGATCAACTCTGTCACTCCTATCTGCGGAGAAGATTGGACCCTTTGGAGAAGAGCCCAAAGGCCATCCTAAATTATAAGATACACTAATCAAGCTGGATGACGGAAACGCAATGAGGAAGTCACATCCTTGCTTTCGAATGTAGAAAAACTTGAAATCTGCCTGATGCAATAGAAGGGTAAAACAAATTGTAGAGTGAATCGATGGTCAAAACCAAGTACAAGAGAATTAAAGCCTCGTTCATTCGTAAAAACCTGTTCCTCACACTAGTAGGCTATCCTAGTATAGTAACCGATCTCCACATAAAACCTAAGAGTTTCAAACTCAACAGCATACAGTCACAGTGAAAGTGGGTGGTGGAATAATGAGCTCAGAATGAAGCACTTTATTCTTCGGCATCATGCTGCCATGAGCTCACCAAAATTTCGCATGAGGAAAATGGATCCAGCAAACACTCCAAGAGCTCGTACCAGTTTCTGCACATCAGGAAGGGTACGTTAAACATAATAGTAGCGAGGAGCATATCAAGGCATAGGTCAACCATCGTTGGAGCTCAAACACACGGATGATGAAAAGCAAAATCAAGTACGAGGTCACCAAAAAAGGCACAGTTATAAGACTGATTGGAAAGTACATGAAGCATAAATCGCATCTGGAATAACTTAATTGGTCAAGAATTGGAGGTTTTGAACTTGGTAAGGCTCGTTTAAGCTGTTCAACTTGTGTAAAATGGCATTCCCGGCATCAAATGAATGACCAACACAGGAGCTTTTTATCACTATAGTCCCTATCCATGCAAGAATCAAGTTTAGCAGTTCATTTATTTGGGCTCTGAAAGCACCTCTATAAGCTTCATAAAAGAACTCGTCCAAGAAGCTTTCTCAGAGGGGCATATACTACAAAATATCCTGCCCTTTTCATTGAAATATAACCATTTTGTAACTTGAGATAATTTCTGATTCTTTAAGATTCAAATTTCCGTTCACGCAATGATCTTCCCATCTCCAACATTAAATCAAGAGGGTGAGGTAGGCAAAAGCATGGTCTTGGCACCTAAAATGTGAATATGGAACCTCACCAACCACTGCAGCAAAATGTTCCCTTGAATATATTTACCCAACAAATCCTATTTCCAAAGTACGACTTCTATGAGCAATAGATAACACAACAACAACGACAACAAGAACAAGAAAGAAACACTCTTCAGACGCCTAAGAAAATAAAGAACTCGGCCAATACACATCTATTATGTCAAATAAATCATTAGACGTGTTCTCCGTCCATCTTAACATTCCTATTCAGCTTGCAAATTGAGACAATAAACTTGACATATAACTAAGTAGATCGAGTCAGATCAAGAATAGAGATCAAATTCATTATCATTTGACAACTCATTGCAGTGGAAGGTTATCCAACGCATCGAATTCCCCAATTTTAGCCTAAGTTAATGGAATCTAACTAAACACCACACAATTTTAGAGCAGTAACAACATACATAACCAATTCCACTCGCCCCACACATATTTCTTGGAATAAGGAATCTATTGGGGTTAGCCTATGTGCCTAATGTCAAGCTACTTGCGGAACTAGAACCTGGCAGTAACTAAAGTTCTTCCCAAATTACTTTCACTTGAGACTGGAACCCATGAACAATTCATCCAAGTCTACACAGCAAAACTCCAACAAGTATTTGGGATTGTGTTTTGGATTCAGTATCACATGACACCAATAGGATAAAAATAGAGTGAGTACATTCACATCTTCAAGATTACATCAGGTTAAGCAAGGACACTCAGCCACAAAAACTCCCTTCACTATGTGATCTACCTCTCCTCTAACCCTCTTCTTAACCCATCTACAAATTTCAGCATCACTCCAACACCTTCAACAAGAAACTCAAAACTTTATTTTAGGCCAAAATCGAAATCACTGCAACAAGTTCAGAAGGATGCATTCACACCATTCCGCATATCTCCACCCATCGTTTCAACCGCCTGAACCCGAATGGCAGCAGAGCCAATGATAACAAACAATTTAATCAATTCATTGTGCACTCAGACTAAGAAAAAACTATTCAACACCCAGCAATTCCAACGCGAACTCTCGAGAATAATGCAGAGGGAAGGAGAACACGGATAAGGCGCGGCAGAGCGGAGAAAAATAAACCCAATACCAGATTGAATGAGGCAAATAATGAAAGCAAATTACTCGGATTGCGATGACAAACGAATCCCAATTACTCCCTAGACGACAGACGTTGACACGAAAGAAAATTGAAATCACGGATATAAAGTTGAACGGGATAAAATAACAGGGAAAAGGAAGAAAAGGAGGGAGTTGGTACCATGTTGACATCCCAGTTCTGCTCGTCATGAACTTGAGAGTGCCAGAAGGCTTTGAGGTTGTCGAGAGAAACCACTGAATTCGCCATTGATGATGAGGATCGAGAAGCGAAAGTAGCAGAGAAGGGTAGAGTAGAGGTCGCTCGGAACTGCTGCTAGGGTTTTAGAGTTTTAGGGGTCGTTTGCTTGTTGGATTTGGGTCATGGATTTGGTACCTAAATCCCAAGTTTGATGAATTTAACACAAATCCATTGTTTGTTGATGGGTGTCAAATCCGTGGGGTCCACAGATTTGGTCTTTAATTTGGGACCAAATCCGTGGACCCCACGGACTTGTAAATCCCACATATTTGTTTGGGATTTGTAAATCCATGATGGTTGTTAGTTGCTTATGTGACAAATCCATCATAAATACATTATCAATTCTATCATGCAAACACTAGACTTTTCAAATCCATAATACAATAAATCCCTCATGAATCCCAAGGTTTTTGTTGCACAAAACCTTCATTTTTCAAATCCAACAAGCAAACGACCCCTTAAGCTTTTAGCAGGAGAAAACCGAATTTAGAGAAATATAGCAAAAATTAGACAAAATACAATTTCGTCATAACTTTCGAATAATAATAGTTACTTTTAAAAAATATACAAAATATCTAATTTCATCCAAAACTTTAACATCGTTATAACTGATTTTAGCGTTGGCTATTTGGTCCGGGCTATTAGTTTTAATCGAAACCGGATCGTATAACACTGATCGAGACCGGACCGGAACCGGATAGAAAACAATCCAATCTAATCTTCGAGTTTAGATTTGAGTTAAAAAATCGTTTGGGACCGGATCAAAAACCGGATAAAAACCGGATAAGAGAGCCCAACACCCAAAACTTAACCAACTCATCACCCTTTGAGTCCTCACACCACTTAAATCCCCACAAGCTCAATCTAAAATCAAGACCGAATTGGGAGCGGATCGGGTCAAGACCGGACTGTATCCAATCCAATCTTTGGTCCTTATATTCCCGAAAAAACCAGACTAGAACCAGATCAATTCGGGCCAATTTAACCGGAATGGACCGTATACCCCTAACTGATATTGATTGAACTGACGTTTGTTGCTGATGTGTCACCTTTTTTACAAAAGATGCAGATACAAATATTTTATCTTTTTATTATAATTAATAATATGAAAAAATATAACCAAAAAACAAAAATGGAGACAAAACTCTTCATCAAATCCTTCCTCTTCTGTCGACGAGTTCTTCTCCGATGGCAACATCCTCCCACCACCATCGCTCCTTCCTCTCGTCACCACCCTCCCACGCCATCTTCCTTCGTCGCGACTCATGTCCTTTTGACCTTTCATCTCCCATCTCTCCCACAAATAAAAGAAACTCATTTTCATTGTTTGGAATCACTTCAAGCATTCCTATAAGAATCACTCCAAGCCTCCCATTACCATAACAAAAAAAAGAACACCCCCCCCCCCCAATCTTATCTTTCGTCCTCAATTTTGCTCGTTAACCCTCAACCATCCATTATTTTGCCACTCCTCCACTAGATTTAGATCCGCAACCCTCTAATTCAGTCGTCGCTTCCCAGTGACTCACCGCTTCATGCAGAGGTGGGGTTGCATGAAGCTCCCTTCTCTCTCTATTTGTGCAAGATCTGGAGCTACGGAGTGATGTCGACGACGGCGGAGTTGAGGCTAGTGACTAACGACTTCCTAGGGTTCGTTGGAGGCAATGTTAATGGTGAGGTGGCGGAGGGTTCCCTCTACTGGCGAATGAGAAGGGGAAGAGGTTGGATGTAGAAGCAAAAGTCGAGAGGGGGGGATTTTAGAGTTGGCGAAGTCGGGGGAAACCGTAGTAGATGGTGGCTGAGTGTTGCTCGGCGCTGCCGCCAGATTCCCAGTATGGAGACGACTAGTCGAGAATAGGGGAAAATTAGAAAAAAATATTTTATGTTTTTTTACTTTGGTTTAATACACTCGTATAGCCATAACTATTCGCGTTGTGACAATAATAGCCAAATTTTGAAAAATGCACAAATATAGCCATTCCGTTATTAACTTTAATGGCACCATTAAAAATGCTGACTGGACTAACAGTTTTTGCTGATGTGGCGACTCTTCATCTTGCTTTACCATGTTGGAAATGTTTTATTTTTATTATAATTAACTGAAAAAATAAAAAAGAATAATACAGAAACTAAAAAAACAAAAAATTAATAAAACAAAGAAAGGAGATGAAAAAGCGTCTCCTTCAACTCTCTCTTTTTGTTCATCTGATCACCTACCCATCTCCTTTACGACGAATCCCTCATTATTCCCGATTGAAGGACTCCTCCGAACAACTCCTCCATCCGACCAGAACCCTGCTTCCCCTATTTTATTGATATGTTTTTATCCCAAACCCACAATCAGATCCAAGAAAGAACCCAGTTTGCCCATAAAACCTAGAAAAGACGAATCTGGAATCTCATTGAACAAAGAATCGGTGTTGCATAGGGATGTTATGGAACCCACCAAGCTTTATGCAAGCAAATTGGGAATCCTTAAATGCATAACCTCCATCTCTTTCAGCCACTATGTTGATCCCAAAAACCCTATGAAACCCAAAAATCCCAAATAAGGAGAGAAGGAAGAAGTAGAGAAAGAGCAGGGGGACCACGTCAAGGTAGGAATCCATGAGCTCTTCGTCTTGGATCGACGCTGGGTATGTAGCTACTGCGACTGAATCGGCGTAGATGGCACTTGAGCTCAAACTAGATTGCACGAATCACACCCATCTACCCTAAACCTAGAATCGGCATCACTAATAGATCGTAAACCCAACAGTGACTCCAACGCGGTGACTACGCTTCCCGGCTCGCCGCCGCCTCTATCGATGAAAGTCCTTTGTCCCCTTCCCAGGAGGCCCTCCGCAGCGGTGCCGTCCTCGACGCAGCAGGCACAGCCGTGACCACCGCCGACGATAGGGGAGTTCGGCGCTGCAAGTAGTGGTGAGGGTTCATAGCCTCCTTCATCTGCTTCTTGGATTTCCCATAGACGAAAACAATTTCATATTTGGGGAGTCTTCGATTAACCCAGGGAAGAGGAAAGAAGAATTGAGGAAAAAAAAAAACAAAATGAAATGATTTTTGCAATAATAATTTCACTAGGTGGCTGACGTGGCATGTAATTGGTGACTCATATTTGACTTGGAGTCCACATTTGATGACATGTACGTCCACATCAGCAAAGAGTTAACGGTGTTAAAATTTGTAACGGAAATGGTTATAATTGTCAAGCTAGTTTTAAAAGAGTGGCTATATCTGTGTATTTTTCAAAATTTGGCTATTATTATCATGAAGCGAATAGTTATGGCTATGAGAGTGTATTAAACCTTTTACTTTCAAAATAAATTATTTTTATAAATTAAAATTACGTGGCAATGATATTGATTTGTCGCTGACGTGCGCAATGATTTGACATCCTAGTTAGCCTAACGTTAACTTAACTTATGGAGTTTCTACCACCGTTAAACTATGTAACTGAAATTGCTATATCTATCAAGAAAATTATAAAATTTTAGCTATTTTGTGTATTTCTTAAAAAGTGGCTATTATTGTCACAAACGCAAAAGTTTTGGCTATACCGGAAAAGTTAGTGGTTGATGGTTCAACGGTTAACCATTGATGGAACCGTTCATGCGCTATAACATAAAAGACATACATAATACATCAATTTATGAGTAAATTTATCACTAACCATAAGCAATTTCAAATCCATATCATATGTTCTAATAAAACATTCTAAGTCTCTCACAAAAGAAATCGTAGTTTGAAAAAAAATTCAAGTTAGTAATCAGAGTAGCAATTCCCTTTTTTCAGCTTTGACGAAAGAGATGCCAGTGAATCTGCTTCAATTGGACCGCTTCGCCCAGAATATAGACAGTTGAAGGAATAGGATTTGCTACCCAACTAGTCCCCCACATAAAGCCACCAAGGAGGCTGAGAAATGAAGCATAAATAAAATTAGCAATTGAGGTTGGATGATCTTAGTTTACGTTAAAGTATTTTTTTTTCCTCTTACTTTTTTGTGGTTAAAATAGTGAACCAGCAGGCAGTCAAACCGAGGTGGTTCATCTGATTTCATGTCAAACTGTACAACCCCGTTTGGTCCATCGCTAGTCGTTCAATCGAATGAATCGAATTAAATCCCGACTAGAGCTCAAGCATAAACTCTAGCCGGACTGGTCCATGTACCCCTACTTCAATCACTTAGTTTGTTATCTAGCAAACTTTTCGGGTTTAAAACTAAGAAAACTACAAATGAAAACAAGCAAGTAAAGTAAATCGAGGTTGTCCCAATGAGAGAAGAGTTCACCCGGGTATTGCTCCCCCTAGCTACATATCAAGATCTCCCAAATCGAATGCAAATGTGAGGAGGTGTGTTAATACACCGTAGGAAGGCGCAACAAGTGAAGGAAGCCTCACTCTCGTAATCAATCGGTCAAGGAAAACAATTAAACTAGGAATCTTAGCTCTATCAATCAATGGATTAAGGATTGCTACAATAAACTAGGGAGTCTAGCTCTCTTAACCTTTCATCTAAGGATTGCAACAATAAGCTAGGAGTCCTACTCTTAACCGATAAAACTAAGGGTTGCAAGAACCAATCCTTCGGAACTTAATTCGGACGGCAAAGTAACACCCAAGTTAAAGTGCTAAATCAAAGTTTGACATTTGCCCTAATTTTCCCTAGGTAGGTGACTTAATTGGTCAAGGAATCCAACTTATCAAAGCCTCCTACCAAAAAGGGGAATCCCCTCTACCTAGGTCAAACTGGCATAGTAATGAGAAATGAAGAACACAACCCAAACATCATGAAAATACCTTAAACTTTGCATTAAACACAAACCCACACAGACAAAGCATTCAATTAATACAGTCTATCACATATTTCAAGCTAGGGTTCACAACACCCAAGTGAATAGGTAGGTTATTCCATAGCTAGGCAAAGGAAAACAAGAAAAAGGAGAGAAAGAACCATGAAGAGATGACAATCTTTCTTTCTCCTTGCTTGAATCTCCCTTGAGAGGTAAGAATATTCACTCCTCTAGCTTAGTGCAAGCCCAATCTCCTTCTTCCATCTTTGAATCAAACTTTCTCTCTCTAGAATAAGTAGAGAAAA